CTGCCTCTGCACTGACAAGAAGGGAGTTCCCCAGCCTGTAGGTCTGCTGCTGGTTCTTCCCCCCCAGGTGCAGTACCTTGCACTTGTCAGTGTTGAATCCCATCCTGTTCTCATCTGCCCAACCCTGTAACCTGTCTAGGTCCGACTGCAGCCTATTCCTCCCTTCTAGTGTGCCCACTTCCCCCCCACATCTTAGTGTCGTCTGCAGATTTGAACAGGGTGCTTTTTACCCTTTTGTTCAAGTCACTGATGAAGATGTTGAACAGTGCAGGCCTGAGGACCAAGCCCTGGGGGACCCCACTGCCCACATCCCTCCAGGTCGAATAAGACCCATCCACCACCACTCTCTGGGTGTGGCCCTCCAGCCAATTAGTAACCCATTTGACAGTTTTATTTAACTAAAACAACAAGCTTATGTATGTTGGATATTTGCTTTGACTCTGCACACAAACTTGCAAAGAGGCAATATGGCTGATGGGTAGGTAATCAGGTCTGTTGTCTCTTATCTCTATATACTGCTGTTAACAAGGATGTTATCTCTGGAGACAGAAATCCAGTTTGAGGACCAAAATTAAGCATCACAGATGCTTAATGGGATCTTCTAGACTGAGCACAAAGTCCCATTAGGTAGAGTGGTTGTGTTTAATCTTTAGTAATCTGTAGGGGAGCCTGTGGGAACCCCATAAGATTGGGCCCCTAATATAATCCATGGCCTGTTGTTACCTATTTATAAATTTTTTCTAAAAAGGTTACATGCATCTGCAGTCTTAAATAGTATATCATTAGAAGTAATAATCCCTGTTCCATGATGATGTCTCTGAGCTTTAACATATCTTGCATTAAAACTATCTTTATATAGATTTAATTTTTTTTAAAAGCGTTTTAACAAAAAAGTCAAATTAATGCAACTAACAAAAAAAAAATTTTTTTTTTAAAAAAAAAATCAGGTTAAGTCATTGATTTTTACCCACCCTGAACAGAGTCCTCTGGAGGCCGGCACAATGCAGAAACACCTTGCGGTAGTACAAATGAATGTTACCAAGGCCTAATTGATTTGGGACCGCCTGTCCTTGAGCCCATCTTTCTCTGGAGAGTGAAGGACTGGGATGCTGGGGGTCAGAGAGACTCCCTATTGCATTGCATGTAACTATCCACACATTGCCTGTGGTGTTATGGTTTGAAACAAGAACCTTATTGTAGCAGATTCACCTTTTTGCATGTATCCAAGCGCGTAGTGTAGTTATGTCAGGCTCATTGTCAGTTGGTGCAGACAACCGATTACAAATGTAGCATGATCAGGGCAAGAAGAATACATCAGTGGTTAGACTACTATCCTGGGATACAAGAGATTGATTCCTTCCTCTTGCTTGAAGCAAGTTTCTTGGAGTGTGTCTACACTGTGGCAACAGCAGCATGTCCTGGGTTGGTCCTGCCTGATTATGCTGCACCTCATTCCTGAGTCACTGTGCCCAACCTGGAAATACCCCAGTGAAGATATTAAGGGTTGTCCCCAGCAACTGTTCTCAAGACCTCAGGCTTCAACATGCTTGCAAACAGTGTTTGTCATGACTTGGCGTATCTTCACCAGTGTCTGTCCAGGCTTAGAACAGGTGGATGGGGCATGTTCAGGGCTGGATAGATCTACTGGATAGATGCTGCTGCCCTTTTCCATAGTGGTGTCACAAGAATCAAAATACTGTTTTGTCTGAGTATCTATATGCACCTAATAGATGTCACCTGACAAGCCAGCTGAAGTCTGTCAGCTTCTTATTGAAGAGCATGTTGGGAGGCTATTTCTTTCCTGATGGTATATCTCAACATCAGATTGGAGGCCCATGATGTGGCTATCTTAAATCTTGCAAATCAAACACTAGATCAAGAGTGTGGCCAATTTTATGAGCTGATCCCAAACAGCCACCTGAGATGAAACATGCATGTTAAACACAAGAGAACTACTACATCTCAGGCTAGTTTCATAGAAAGCAGGAGCAAATGGTTTGGAATATAACAGACAAAAGATGATAATGCTAACACAGTCTTACAGCTGGGATTTATTGAATTATGAAGCATTTAGTGTCCATACCTTATTAACAAACTACATTCTTCAGGCTAGTGTAACTGGAAAAAGCTGTATTTTTATACTGTAGTCTAATTTCTGTTGGTATATGTGCAGTGAAATGCATTAGTATTTAAACTGAAGTCTTTCTGTTTCTTTAAAATTATTCTTCCACTTGTAGGGTGCCATTCAAGCAAGGTATGATGCTATTGATAAGGACACTCCAATTCCTACAGATCGACAAGTAAGCTTTGTGTTTATTTTCAAGTGCTGTCTCAATATAATGCAAGACATTTCCTCCACTTCAAAAATGAAGTTAACTGTTCTGCTCTTTTACTGCAGTTGATGCTGCTGATCAAAATTGAACTTTGAGGGGTTTTTGTAGTTATGTAGACTAGAGTATAAGCATGTTGCGAGACCTGCAAGAAACTAGTTAACATAACACAAATTATAATATAGCATTCATAAAATGCAACCTTGTGTTTGGGTTCACCTGCTTTTGAAGTGAAAATAAACAGATGTCAGAACATAGCAAAGGGATACTAAATAGAAAAAAGGAAATACTTACTTTGCAACTTGGATCTGGATGCTGTATGACAGCATCCCCAAATCCCATCAGCTTCAGCAGAAGCTCAAAGGATATAGTTCTTCACAGAAAAGTGCAGTGCCAAATGGTGAACAGACATTACTAGTAACATCTGCTCTTTTCATCTAGCCAAAGGAATATAGTTTTTTTATTGAGCTGAGTCTGTCCTGAGAATTCGTACTTTAACACTTAAAAGAAAATGATTTTAACACCCAAGAAGATATGACTTGACAGCTAAGCCAGAAACTGGTGCCGCTAAAATTCACTTAAGAGACCAAGGCTGTCTTTCATGAACATAAAGTGCAGGTAAATGGCATTTCCCCACACAGCATGTCTTTTTAAAATGAAGGAAGAAAAGGTTTGTGATTTCATGGTGGCCCAACGTAAATGTATTGGCTGCATTCCACTACTTTCCCCTACTCTCATTGTTGTGGGATTGCCATGGGACCACCCCTGTTCTGATTTCTTCCTCCTGCTTTCCTCCTGTGTTGCAGATTGAAGTTGATATTCCTCGATGTCATCAGTACGATGAGTTGCTGTCATCACCAGAGGGCCATGCAAAGTTTAGACATGTATTGAAGGCATGGGTTGTATCCCATCCTGATCTTGTGTACTGGCAAGGTAAGTTTAACTTGTAAGTAAATAGGTTGGTTGTTTATCTGGGAAGCATTCAAAGCAAAGACTTTCTAAAATGCAGTTACTTCCTAAATAGAGCGGAGGCCCTTTTGCTTGCCTTTGCTCTTCATTTCTTTTTTAATAGACTTTAAAATTGGATTTAATTATTCATTTGCAGCTGTTAGTGTAGAAATTTCAGGAGATTCCAGCTGTACATATTGAAAATGTAAGATTCTTATGCTTCCCATTCTGTTTGTAATGTAAATTCTGTCCCTTTTTCCCCACAGAAATTGATTAATTCTCTTGCATTTTCTCACTCCCTTTATTTTTATTCACTTTGTTTTTAAAAGTTGTCATTGACTAATGCTACTCAGTTCAATGTTAACTTCAGTGACTTCTGTGCAGTGTTACTATTTTGAGTATAATATGCTGGAGCATTTTTAGAAACAGGGACACAACTGAGAAAAATTAGCACAATCTCCCTATTAGTACAATTTAACAAATTTAAATTATTTATATTTATTTTCATACCATTGTTTCATGCCTATTCTCTGCAAACATAACTAACACTAATATTGTAAGGGTCTTAAATATGCAAGTCATGTGTTTTGTCTTATGTCATATTCAATGAGTGTTCATTTTTTCATAGTTTCTTGACCTTTTCCTCCCCTTAGGTCTAGATTCTCTTTGTGCACCATTCCTGTACTTGAATTTTAACAATGAAGGTGAGTATCTTTAGAATACGTGTATAACTTATTATGTGTGTGTGTGCACACATGTGCAAATAAGCAATAGGTGGAGTTTTAGTGATGTAACATCAAAGGAACGTTGAAGCCGGAGGGTATATCTACATAGGCAGTTAGGAAGAAATAAAATCTGGTACAGTTTACACTGGAGTCTTTCTCCTGGGCATAGTATTTACATGTGCACCCAAGACCTCAGCACACTGAGCAAGGTGGAGCAGAGGATCCAAGAGGTGAGCTCCGGGCTCTGGTTAGCAGCATCAGGAAGCAGAGGTGCTGGCTGGCTAGACCATAAGGGTGCTACAGTGTGGGACTAGCCAGCAGGCAGCCCCTGCACCATAGCACCCTTATGCCTCAACCAGCCCCATTCACCATCCGCATGTGCATTGAGGTAGCATAAATTACTCCTGCCATAGGATAGTACTTGTCCCAGACAGTATTATTCTGTGGTGGAATTAATTAATTATTGCATCCTAATATAGGCACACGTGTAGATGGTGGCACTTTACTGCAGAGCTAATTAGTTGCACCCACTGTTACCATCATTTCCAACAAACAGCACCAAGTTCTTAATTGCAAATACTAAAAATTTCACTGTGTTGAAATTTTGGGGAGGATGCTTTATAGTCGTCTTTGGCAACAAAGTGGTAGAATCTGCTTCTAGGTGTAATACTTTATTCAAACTACTAGTAGCCTTTTCATTACTATCTACATCTGCTCTTGTATGAAGATACTAAGTAGTTGGTAAAAAAGTTCTTTGCAAGCTTCCGAGCACAAGCACCCTTCTTCAAGCATTGAGAGACTCTGCTGTTCTGAGATCTCCAAGGTAGGATGAAGCTAAAAGCGTGACTCCTCATGGCCACATTTTTGGTCAAATTGAATTGATTCGTCTTGTTTCCTGTGTCTTTGTTAACTTGGCTTTAGAAGTGGTTTTCATGTGTGCTGGCACTGAATTCATAGAATTAGACAGAGTTTCAATATTCTGATTAGTTTTTATTAGCACTTTTGTTCTAGCCATAAGTAGGATGTGAGTAAGGGATTAGGTTTTTCATAGTTGTGACTCCCATCGGACACATTAAGTCTTAGAGCTTTTGCATAAAGTTAGTGTGTTGTGACTTTGTAGACTTTCCTAATTTTTTATTAATATCACTGTGTATATTATGTTTGGGGGGTTTTGTTTTGTTTTATTTGCATGTCTTTAAAAATACTGGTAAAGAAACTTGTATTCCAAAGTAAGAGACTTCATTTACATGAACTGAAACATTCAATATTTTCTCACTATAAATTTATACTTTTGCCTGTCACTTCATTTTTGGTGTTTTATAACACATGAGATCTGGTGGAATTGATGACAATTCTGCTACAGTGGCTTTTATTTCCTTAGAAAGATGTTACCCAAATTCCGTCTGAATGCTTTGGTTTCCATTCCTTAACCACTTCCATTCAGTGTGCAAGTGAGGTGCTTGTGATAGATGAGAAAAATACTTGGGCTGTCAAAATGCTAATGCTACTCTCTGGATTTTAGGTCCTCAGATGAAGTGAAAGCTGGGTAGCTTAATCTGAATCCTAATAACATAAGTCTCTTGAAAGGAAGTCTTGACTTTATGGGGACTGTGACTACATTGTCTGCTGACTCGGTGTTATTTACTAGGCCTGTGTGAAGCGGCAGTTACTTGTTTCGGATTCGGCTGATTCAGAGGGACAGTGATTTAATTCGGAGATTCAAATCACTGTTCCGATTTGATTCGGCCAAATCAGATCCAAAGATTCAGTGCCGCTTCAGAGATTTGGCCATAGACTGAACAGACAGCAGTCATCGCCACACTGGACTCAGCTGCCTCCAGCTGGTAAGCCTGTGTTGGGTGGGGGGAAGGAAAGGGGCGTGGGGAGGGAGAGATTGTGGCTGGGGCAAGCTGCCCAGCCGGGGTGGCAGGGGGAGGGGTGTGGGATGTGGGCACAGCAGCACTCAGACCTGGGGCTATGCCCTGTTGCCACTTGCCCCCTTCTGCCCGGAGCAAGTTGCGCCTACATCGTTCATCCCGCGCCCCACTGCCCTGGCTGGGCAGCTTGTCCCAGCCCCAATCCCTCCTTCCCCCACACTTTCCCTCCTCCCACCACAACAGACTTACCAGCTGGAGGCAGCTGTGTCCAGCGCGGTGAGGACTGCTGCCTGTTTAGTCTATGGCTGAATCTCCAAAGTGGCACCAAATCTTTTCCAAATCAATTCGGACCTTTTATTTGGTCTCCTGATTCAGTTTGGATTCAGAGATTCAGTCACCACATCTGGCCAAATCTCCTCCGAATCTAATCACCTGCCAAAGCCTCACACAGCACCTATTGTTTACGCTTTGTCTTGTGGTTTGTAGTCTTAATGGGTGTATTGGACCACTGCTACTCTGGATTCTTCCATGGTAGTTGTTGTATTTATTTGCGTATTCTGCTTCTCTGGAAGTTATGAGCTTCCCTGATGCAGACATTGCAACACTTATTTATACTTGGGCATTTCTTTGCATATTGACCAAAGAAATAAATCAGAAACAATTTTTGATGGTGCACAGTAAAAATAATAAAATAGTAGTAGTAAAAAGAGATTTGTTTTATCCTAGAAATGTTTGGGTCCACAGCTACCATTTAAAAAGAAAATGAACAAACCACATATGATGCATTAGTCACATAATGTACTGCTCTATTGGAAGGTGCTTAGATAATACAATGCTGAGGGTGGAATAAGAATCTTAGAAGAGAGAGACTAACAAAGTCTACCTAGAAGAGACAGAAAAAAGGGGGTTAAGAGAAGGTTGAAACTAAATTACAGCTGTTAAGTGACTTGCCTAGACTTAGGCAAAAAAAAAAACTGTAGGAGAGCTGGGAATCAAACCAATCTCTTGAGCCCAAAATTGTCCTTCCTCTCTGAAGAATTCTTCCCACAGAAGGTCACTTCCAGCTGAAACAAGCAAATTTTAGGTAGACAGAATGTGACCGCCCATGTTTAGACAACGCCTCTGGCATAAAGGGCCATACAACTTCTAGTCATTCTGAAGTGCCACATTCATTTTCTGCAGCTCAAAAATTAATATGTAAAGAATTGCATTGCTTGATTTGTTCATTGGATAATTGGTGCAAGCCAGATTTTTTTTTGAGTAGCTTTTAAAACATTTTAAAAGTGAAATGCTCATTCTGTGTATATTTTGTACAGTTGCCCTGTAGAGTGTGAATATATATATTTTAAAGTAATAAGTATTTTCCAGTGTACAGATGCTTCTTTCTTTCCATCAAGTTTTATTGATTTTTCCCTCCTCCCCCCAATTTTCTTCTAGCTCTGGCCTATGCCTGCATGTCAGCTTTTATTCCCAAGTACCTGTATAACTTCTTCTTGAAGGATAACTCTCATGTTATTCAAGGTAAGGCCATAAGGTAAAATTTAACTCTTTATGAATTTGGGTTTTTAATATTGTGTGTTCATATCAACTGTTTGGTGGGGTTTCTTCTGTTTGGGTCTCTCTTTCTCTTAAGTAGCTTTTATAACTGTCACAGACGTATAATTAAACTTTCATTGCTATAGGAAATAACCTATTTGAAATATATAAATGGTTATCACAGGAGCAGGGCAGTAAACAAGGGCCCACTGGTAAAAACAGGTAAGGATGTGTGTGAAGAAACCCCGTGCTGTTATTCAACAGCTGAAGTAGAAACCAGTCAATTAAATGAAATTGGGATCTTGAAAAGGAATCTGTCCTTGCTTGTATTGCTGCATGGCTAGATCCCTCCAAAGCCATCCTATTATAAATAGCTATTCTGCTACAAAGCAGAATGCAAAAGAAATGACTAATTAGAGTGTATTTGGAGACTACAGATACTCTGATATCTGGAGAGTCAAGAAATCTCAGGGTAGCTCCTTTACAGGGAAAGAAAGACTTCAGCTGAGTAGAAAACAATTCTTAAAGTTCCATAAGGAGACTGTGAGACTGTAGAGAGCTGGGGAAAGGTTGATATGAGGAGAGGTGAAAAACATTTGGAGTTTTGGAAAGGAAATGGATAAGAAGATGTATGAATAAGAGCTATAAAATGAATGTTGTGAAAAAGCTGTTGGGAGATCCCTTTTGTACTGTCCTACAGTACAAAAGTGGGAAGTTGCTTGATAAAGCTAAAAGCACTAAACTTTAAAAGAAGAAAAGAAATTATTCTAACATGAAATAAATAATTTATCTGTGGAATTAACTTGTAAGTTGTAAGAGAGGTAGTTAGCCATGTTAATCTGAAATCAAACACAAGGTAGAGTACATTTGCACCTTATAGACTAACTAAATCAGAGATGTGTAAGCTTTCATAAGCAGTAGCTTACTTCATAAGATAATATGAAAATCCCTTAATACAGTAATTTATAATCAGTGTGCCACAGTACCCTGGGATTCCTTTCAAGGGTGCTGCGGTTTGCGACACGTTAGCACTGTTAGGTGTGCAAATGTGATTCACAAGCTAAACACAGAGATTTCAAATAGAAATCCATAGTTGTGGTGTTTCTGAGTTCTTTGCAATAGAAAAACTGCTCTATTTTTTTTTGCACTCAAAAACAATAAGTGGGGGTGGGGAGTTGATACTAAAACTTGGCATTTTCCTAGATGTCCCTGAGCTTAAAAAGTCTGAGAACCATTGCCTTAATAGCATCTGATGAGGTCATTACTTATCAAAGCTTACATGTCTCTGATTCAGTCTCCTATTCTGTAAGGCCAATTGTTTGGTATTTTTTTTCAAAGTGTAGATGCTTCTGTGAAATAATATAATTGATTGCTAGCTAATATACAATAAAAATAACTACATCTCATGTGTCCAAAGTATAAAACAATGATCAATTGCTGTTGGGTTTGTGGTATGGTATGATACTTTCGCAAAACTAAATACATGGTTAAGTCTTCACAGCTTTTTCTGCAGCACCCTATATTGAATCCTGTTTTGGAGATGCAGGATTAGGTGCACCATCGGTGTATTCTGATTTCCATTTTATTTCAAAGTTTGTAGTATGTAGTATACAGGTTTGTAAGATCTTTATAAATATTAAAACAATTTCAAAAGAAGGCTTTGTGGGAATTTTCTTTAGTTTGTTGGAGTGAGGTTTTCTTAGGGAGAAATACAGTAGACTGTACTGTGTCTGAAGTAAGGTTCAAGAATCTCACCCATCATGGAATAACACCATTCAAATCACAAAAAAAGTCAGTCGCTGGTGAGGCACACCTACGCAGTCAAAGCACTGGTCATACCAGGCTTATTTAAATGTCTTTCCCCATATAAAGAAAGATATAAGAACAATTAAGGATTTATAGAATATCAAATTATGCAAAAGAATAATTCAGAATACCATTCCAGCCAGCAGTAGCTGGCTGGACCTAAATCTTGTAGATTGTCTCTTCAGTAGACAATTAATCATGTAATCCCACATAGTAATTATATTTTGAGTCTGGCTAGTCAAATAAAAATGGTGTTTAACAAAGTCTGATGGATCTGCACCTGAACACCATCAGCACAAATTTTTAGTTTTAAAAGAAAATATACTTTCAGGAAGCTAATGATGAAAATGGATTCATGAGCACGCTGCTGAATGTATGCGATCACTGGTTTTAGGCACCTTTCCTGTTGCTGCTGGATATTTTAAGAATTACAATATGTCAGAATTGTATGTGGGGAAAGCTAAAGTAACCCAGGCTAGCCCCACTGGCCTCTGGATAAAACATGCAAGCAGTGCCCTGTGTCATTTCCATATCTATTTAATTTCTGAGACTGAAGGTTTGTTTCCACTGCAGCGTTAGCTCAAAGCACACCTTGACTTGTGCCCTTACCCTGACAGCCATTTACAACCACACATCTTGACCTCTAGTTAGCGTAGTGTCTTAGAGTCAGCATTCCCAATATACTATATGTGGGGAATGATAAGCAGTCCCTGAATCTCGCTATGTTGACATAACTTCACAGTGGAGGAGGTAAAACTCAGGCATTGATGACTGAGCAGATTTTTACTGCTTAAAATGCTGGATAATTTAACTGAGGATGTAAAAAGTGCTGTATTTACTGCGGTGTAGCTGGGAGAGTTCACCATTTATACGTCTGCCTTATCTGATTTAACTCACGATAGAACTTAAATTATCATCTCAATTGTGTGTGCGCAGTTATCCTGCTGTAAAATTGCACTACTTTTTTTTTTTTTAAGAACAGCATATAGGACTGGTCCTCTCATTCAAGCATAGTAATCACTAGGAGTGTGCGAAGTGGGCTGTATTCAATTCGGATTTCAGTCTATGAATTGAGGGGACAGTGATTTGATTTGCTGATTCAGATCAGTGTCCTGATTCGGTTCAGCCAAATCTGAATCTGAAGATTCTGTTCTGATCTGGAGAATCAGTGATGTGGACATAGACACAGCTTTAAATGCTTTTTCTACATACCTCAAGGTACCGGGCACAGATCGCGAGCGCTGAGATGGTGAGGCGGATGGAGCAGCCCACAGGAACGTGGCCCTCCTCCCCATGTGCTTGGCAGTGGATCCCCCCATGCCCCCACAGCTCAGTGATTTAGCCACAGGGTGACCCCAGGTACCCACCCAGTCGCCAAGTGAGGGGGTGGATCTCCTGTGTGCTTCGTGGCAGACCTGGAAGTGGACCAGAAATGCTTCTGGTCCACTACTGGGTCTGCCGCCAAGTGAGCTGGGAATCCCCTTGCCCCCCCCACGCTCCTGTGGGATGCTCCATCTGCCCCACCATCTCAGCGTTAACAAACCACCTGGTACCTTAAGGTATGTAGAAAAAATATATAAAGCTGTGTCCACGTCCAAGTTGTCAAATCTCTCCGAATCGAATTGGAAGCTTCCGATTCAATTCAGAGAGATTAATGGGACTTCTGATTCAATTCGGATTTGGTGATTTGGCCACTGAATTGGGCTGAATCTCCTCCAAATCGAATCTGTGACCAAAGCTTTGCACAGCCCTAGTAATCACTCATTTTGCTAGGCAAATTCAAATGGTCTTCACTGAAATTTAGATAATGAGGCCAAGAACTTGTCTACAATTGAAAAGCTAATCTGGATTAAAAGCAGGCATAAATTTTAAAGTGCTATAGCTATTCCTGAACAATTCCTTGTGTGTGAATACATTCTTTCTCTGAAATAAATGTTTATAGCTAGAGGTATTATGGAAGATTTAATACTGGCTGAATGATTCCATATACAGGTAAATCCTAAAGTAGCAGTGAAGGAAGGCCCTAATTAAAGAAGGGGCATTTTCAAGATTTTGTAACATGTTGGAACTACATTAGCCATTCACTTAAGAAGCCAGTGTTCAAGGCTCCACTGATCTGTTGGGAGTAAGAAGCTGAGGCTAAGCAACTGGGACAGGGGTAGGCTCTACTGGGCAACAGGAATTGTTGGTTTGGGATGTGTGAGCTTTGACAGGGGGATGAGGGGAAAGAGATGTAACCCATCATGAAACCACAGGAGAAATGCCTCTTGGTCCTGATTCTAAGGAATCTCATGAAAGTATAGGGGACAAGGGAATGGGAGAGTGGTAATATAAAACACCTGAGGGCTGCATGCCTCATCCTGCCCATTCGCAAGTTAAAAATGAATTGTGGTGAAGGCAGTTAAGTTAAACTGTCCCTTTCAGGCTGATGTGTGAAAGTGGAGACATATTATTGCAGAAAAGACATATTATTGCAGAAATTCTTCTCCTCCAAGGGGACAATAAAGAATACAGATGAAAAAACTTTAATACTTAAATTAGCAGTAAGGTATAAATAGGTTATCTTTGTAGCAGATACTTTTGGGATTGTGATATCTTTGGATTTCTTCAGTACAAGTAATTTTCTAGAACAAGTTTCTTTCAGTAACTTACAGCTTAACTGTATGTCCAAAGCCTATTTCACATTAAATATTTCAACTTTGTGTAGTTTTTTTTTCAAGTGAGGTATAGATCATTCCATTTAGTTTTGTTGCTGTGGAGTATGAAAAAAAAGTACAGGAAACCTTTAATTTTGGAGACTATAGAAGTTGGAGGTTGCTAATGAAGATGCAAATTAAGAACTATGAGCAAGCAAAGGAAGAAAATGCCAGTTTTGTTTTGTAATGTACTTAAATGCTAAAAGTTAATTTAATAAGGACACATTCTTCGTATAAAGCAATGGTTCTCAGCCTTCTTGGATCCAAGCCGCCACTCTAACTTTTCTGAATTTAGTAGTCCCTAATTGAGAACCACTGTTGGGTTGCCTCAGCTTACTTCAGTGGTTTTCAACTACTGTGCTGTGGCCACAACCTGATAAAACAGTCCTCTTGGAAACAGAGGCGTATGGGATAGGTCCACTTGGTAGCAGCCTGGTGATTTATCTGCATTTGTGCTGGCTGCTGCCATTGCCACTAACTGGACCTATCCCACACCCCTCTGTTTCCAGGAGAATCATGCAGGGCTGAACCAAGTACTCTTGCCTGCATTAGGTTTCTCAGATAAACCTAATACAGGCAAGAGCATCTGCTGCAGCTGCTTCCTAGTCGGGCCCTATATAATAAGAGTGGAGCAGTTTCACCTGGTTGTGGTTTGAGGCGTGCCAGTGCTGTGACACACTTGAAAGGGGGTTACAGCACCCCCATTGGGAACCACTGCTGTAAAGAATAGGGCACGCTTCGGAATCTGTATTCACGCCCTGTATCTACTCATTGTTTTTACAGCATGGAGCTGAATTGGTGCTGGGGGTTCTTGGTCTGGCAATGATCTGAAACATTTGTTTCATTTCAGAGTACCTGACAGTGTTTTCCCAGATGATTGCGTTCCATGACCCAGAGCTGAGTAACCATCTCAATGAAATTGGCTTCATTCCAGATGTAAGTGCTGAGGTTTCTTGTTTAA